TCAGCAGGGACTAGACTTCCTCATCTCTGGCCAGAGAAATCCAGCCTTCTGTTTCAGCACCATATCACATATTGTCCTAATGAATTCTTGTAACACACTGCAGCCCAGATAAATATGCTTATATTAATGTTTTTTGGCAGGCTGGGGCATGGTACAGAATTGACACAAGTGTTTGGATTCTGCCTAAAGTAGACATCAGGAATTTATACAGCTTAGAAATATTAGATTGTTGTTGGGTTGTTAGTCCTATATGACAACCCTCTGTATCAAAAACTGTAGTTCATACTCCCCAAACTGTCTTCATATGGGGTCAGGTTGCATTAGGCTTGTCACTAGGATGTTCCAGGCATTCCAAGACGGTAAAAAAAAAACTAATTAGAGATACATATACAAAGAAGTACACAGAATTTTACCAAACACTTGGAGGTTATATTGTCACTTTAGGCAATATAAATCATACTACTGCCCCACTCCACATTTCTTTGAAATTGTCACATGACTCTTTTTCCATATAGTTTCTTCTAGTGAAACTACAAATCTCACAGCTCAGAATAACTGTTGCAGCACACTGACATATTATATGTCTCTATACCTATGGGGCAAGATCATCTTGGGGTGGGGGGGTGCAGGACAACAGGCTCTGATCCTTGATTTAGACTTCTAGGCAATATTCTTATCAACCACCACATACTTAAAATTTAGTTGTTGTAATGACCTAGTCAATCCCATTTTATGGAACTTGATGATTAATGTATATTATTAAGAACAAATGTTCAAGATCTCAGGCTGCTCAAACACAATTGAAAAGTGTTCAACGACATTCTGCATATCTGGTTCTTCAGTTGTAAGTACTGTAACTTTCTGTTGCAAGCTAGCAAATTCCTCCAAGTGTTAAGAGACAGTCAAGCACCTCAACAGCACATACACTGAAACCCTCATAACATGTAACAATTTAGAAAGAGAACAAACCACTGGGGGTATGACCTCTAGTGGCTAAGTATTGTTATACATAATTAACTACCCAAAAGATAAGGGAAAGGCTGGACTTGGTGTTAAGTTGTTGGATTGGGAATCTGAATCTAATTCCTGGTTTATAGTCTTCCAGTATGAATTAGACAATCATTTATGGCAGATTTTCCAAGAAGAGCATCCTAGTGCTGAGCATTTTTGAAAGGCTGGTGCCTTTCCTGTAAATGAAAATCATATTTACTATATCCAAGTCTGTACTTGTACATCTTCCTCTATTTATAATTGTTACAATTTTATTCCAAATGATGCTGCTCTTTCCTTTTTTTTTGAGACATTCTTAGCCTTTTAAGAAGATTTGTTAAAAACAACTTTGTTCTTTCCTTCAGGATATACACTCTTTATATCATTCCACTGGCAACTAACAAAGAACCTACTACAGGGGAACCCATCCTTCACCAACTCTGGCTTGGTCCTTATTACTGGTATGGAGTCTGTCATCACATTAAGAAAGCTGAAAGCAACAATAATGAGCAGCACAGCTGCTTGCATTCAGATTCCTATCTGTCAGACTCATCTTCTGACAAATCATTCTGACATTTTTTATCTTCGCTCTTCACATGGCTTTGTTGACGTGGATGGTAAATCCCCTCCCAAACTCTGATAGCCTTCTCAGCTACTTTACATAATTCCTCCAAGTCATAGGCACTCTGAATTATAAAGCCATTGGCCCACCAAGCCTGTCCTCTGAGTTTATCTCAACTCTACCCCCTGTTTTGTCACTGTATCCTTCAATCCACTCTCTCCCCATAAAAGTGTCTAGCTGTCTCTTAAACTCACTTTACCATTTGCTGCTTTGACCTCACTTGGCAACTTATCCTTGTGTTTATTATTCAAGGTGGAACAGTTCTGGCTGCATTCCTGGCTTTACTCCTGATTGTCTAATTTTTAGACAGTGTCACTATAGTTGTGGGTTTTTCTTAAATATATATATTTTTACTTATCACTTATTGAGACCAGTCCCTCAGTTTCCATGTCATCAAACTCCTCCATGATTTAAAGAGTCTAATGGTTAATTGTTTGAAATCTAATAACCTGAAAGTTCTTTTCTCTCCAGTGAAACTAAATTAATTAGTGCTCACCATATATTAGGGTTGGAATATCTAGTCCATTAATGCCATTTTGAACCACATAAGCTGACTTCAACCAAGTGGAGATGGCTAGTTGAAAAGTGCTACTATCCAAGGGAAATATTGATAGGTAAAAAGCCGGCCAAGTGCAGATCTGCTAGACTGGAGTACAAGGATTTAATGCATTTAAATCAGTCTGGTTATCATATTTGATATGCTGTGCCAACATCAACCACATTACTGCTTCTTTCAGAGGTAATATACAAGCCATAATGAGCAAGATGGGGTCTAATCAGAACCTGTGCAAGAAAGGAAAAAGACCTGTTGGCTCAAAGTACATACCTGCATTTCCAGGGAGTGTTCCCAGCTGTCCAAGAACAGTCAGTAGGTGACTGAAGGCAATCTATACTTGAAATTAAGCATAGTTGAAGTAATTCTGAAAGAAATTGCCCAGGTGGTTCACCACAAGAGTTGAAAATAGCAATAAGCTAGTTCTTCACAATTCTCTTTTCAGCTGCATGAAGATACCCTAGTTATAGCAAGATGAAAATTCCTTTTGTTCCTCATCTTATAGTAAGGGTTGTTCCTCATCTTATAGTAAGGGTTATCTTATAGTAAGGGGGAGGGGGGGGGGGGGGGGGGGGGGGGGTAAAGCTGCAACCCAAACATAGGATAGTGGGATTAAATATTGGGCATTTTCAGCCACTTGTTTTCATAACAGGTCAAAAAAACACATTTACCTTCTCTTCAGAAAAAAATTGATGCAAATCATACCTAAAACTTAGCCAGCAAGATAAAAAACTAAAGGAATCAGGTTCTTTACCCTTCTATGTGAACATGTTAGGAGTTTGGGAGTGGCTTTCCTAGAAGGGGTTGGACCACATGACCTTTGATAACCTTTCCAAACCTATGTTTTACAAGTAAGTGAAAGGGCAGCAGAAGTGTGAAAACACTCCAGACAGGCTCTCTCAATACAATGGTCCTTCTATCCCAAAACTTACTGAAGCTATGAAACAGGAAGACATACTAAAAATGGTCAAATTGGTGTCATTCACTGTTTTCAGATTACGAGCACAAGGTAGAGACATATAAGATTTGATCAATCAATCATAGCATTGAAAATTTTCCAGAAACTTAAGGCCACATGCAAAATGTGTAAAATATAACAGTGTGAGGGCCCCATCATCTGTCTTATTGAGGTTTGGCCCAAGGAACATAAGCCCACCAACCAGTTTCTCCAATCATGATAAGGTACTACATGCTGAAAGAGACAGTGTCTGTGGACTGCATCTGCCCAATCCAATTAGTAAAACACCTCAACAAAAGCTATATTCCATTTCTGATATCACCTTTTGAAAAAGAAGTGAAAGGAAAAGACAGGAAGAACCAACCAGTCTTTGTCATGAGCAAATACTAGACTTAAAAACCACAATAAAGCTATACTCATTGTAGTCTGAATGCTGCAGGTATGGAGTAATCTTCATGAATTTCTATAGTAAGAGGTTCTTTCATCATAAAAGTGCAAAAAAGTGACAGATATTCAGACAAACACGAACTCAGTCTTCATTTTTTTGCCACTATAGTCGTGTAACCATTTATTATTATTTGGCTTACAATGTCCTACGAAACTGTGGACCTAGTGGTTTTCAGGGTACTGAAAAGCTGGGCCATGTTATACTGTAGTTTTGGTTATATTTCAAAAGAGATCGTTTTATTTATGTTGACTGTTGCAGGCAAAACTAAAGGTTGGAAGTTTTGGATTATAGTATAAACACATCTGGCAGACCTCTATTTTGGGTGCACAATGGAAAACAGGCTGTTTTGTAGTCCTAGAACATTTCTGAGTGAATCAGAGGGCAATCCTACTAGAGCTGAATTATTTGGGAAGACAAGGAGTGGAGGTGTTTTATTTTTTAATTCTGCAGAGTTTTATGTACACCATTCACTCCAAATATTTGATGTTTGCCACACTTGTTATGAGCTTCTCCAGAGAGATGCTGTCTTTTGGCAGCAAAAGATAAAGCTGACTGATACAAATGAGTCACAGTACCCCAACAGTAATTAACAATGATGCAATACCCATGCGAAAAAGAGAACTTGAAGAATTAACTGTTGAGTTTTCTTGAGGATGCAGCTGCAGTTTGAGAAAGAAACTTTAAGTCATCATAGGAAAGAGTTTTGCTGTGTTGCTGTACATTAGAGAAAAATCATCTGGGAAGATATATCATCTATTTTTCCTTGAAGAGATACAAAAATGTTAAAAGGTCACAATCTGAGTTTGAGGACTGCAAATCAGGCCATATTTATTTACAAAATGTAAATCAAGCAGGATGACCAAAACCAGAGGGTTTTTTATCTTCCTTTTCACACTTCACCATCTAGAATAGAATGAGTACTTCTCAACCTGCTGAGCTGACTTAGTCCACCCCAGCTGTAAATCAAGTTTTACTTGGTATCCAAGCTATGGCCTCTTAACCTAAAATGTCTCCATGTTCACTATTACTGTGTCATTCTGTAGAAAGCTGGTATTTCCTTTTTTAGCATTTTTTTCTTACAGAAGTATTTCATTTAGTTATAACTTACAAGTTGTGAGTGAAAACTTTACAGTCTGGTAAAAGAAAAAGCTTGAAGCAACTGGTTTATAACAATATGAAACATGACACTGTTTTCTGTTGTCAGTACAATTCCCCAGTGAGGTGGATAAATTGTGGTCAAGACCTGGACAGGTTAACTAGTGGTCATCAGTGCTGGTGGTACCTTTATATACAGAAACCCCTGGATACTATTGGACAAGGCATTTGAAATTTAATACCAGCCATGAAACAAGACATCTGCTGGGTTCTCATTTGTTTCTCTTTGAATGGGCTTTAATTGAAAGCTCAGTGAAAAATGCAGGTTACATTCTTAGTGTTATCAATGGTTTTTAACAGCAACAACATCAGAACAGTGATGCATCTAATATTTATACACTTTCTAATGTAGATGTCTAAGGAGCAATACATTATCAGATATATATATATTTTTATATATATATATATATATATATATATATACACACACAATTTCAAGCAATTAATAGTAAATAATAAACCCCTCCTCCCAAAACCCTGAAACAATATATTTCCTCACGCTAATAATGTCTTTTTTTCACATATACTTGACAAAGAGTCTTTTTAAGTTACTTATCTTAAGAGTAATCTGTTAATGGAGATCCTGGACCAGCCCCATTTAAAGTTCGGTTTTAAGTTTATACAGCTTACTAGCCACATAACCAGTGTGGCTTTACATTGTAAACAAATCCCAAACGTCTACAATGATTGAATTAGTCTTGTATGGAAGGAGATCTTTGCTTCTCACGATGGAATAAATTTAAACCAGTACAAAAAGGGTATTTGACACAGATAACACAGTTTCTGAGGGTCAATGATAAAGTTAAAAGCAAGTTAACTTAATTGTAAGATTCTCATTTTTCTGTACAGACAGGTACAGGTTAATCTGGCATTAGCTGCTTTAGAAACATATTCTTTTTTTTTTTTTAAGTTGATTGTGAAAGTCAAAGTAGAGTTTACCTCTTAAAAGCCGGCCTTTAGACAGCACAAGTATAAAGTTTATTTAAAACGTCTCAGGTATTTTTCCTCATTTGTTTCTTCTTCTTTTTCTTCTTGTTTGGTTTTTTTGGTTGGTTGTTTTTTGGGGGTGTGCATAGTTGTATTAATATTTAGAAACCTCAGCATATGTACAAATGCAGCAAGCACAAAGCTTGTCTTTGACATGTACACATACCCAACACACAGTATTACTGAAAAAAGGCACAGTACTTTCCACCTGAAATGTTCAAGTAAAAATAAAAACAGAACTTTTTTGAGGAAAAAAAAATACATAAGTAACGACAGTTTATATTAATATTTAAACTGTAACAGTTTTGGTAATTCCATAACAAAGTTACAAATTAAAACCACTTAACATTATTGAATAGGACATTTTTAAAAGTCCATAGGTCAGAAAACTGGACAGAATCTTACGGTTTAGGTCTCAAATGGGTAATGAAGATAGCTGTAGCTTTCCTAGAGATGTGATCAAGGATGATTGAAAAGTCTGCAGTAGTTCATAAAGTCCCATTTATTTATTCGTTTGTTTCAACTGTCTAAAGGGCCAACTGCAGTTTAGTCATGTTCCTCTGGTGCATGTTGTGATGACGAACTAATTCATCAGATCTGGCAAATTTTTTTTGACAGCTGGGCCATCGACAGCTGAATGGTTTTTCACCTGTTAACAAAACAACCCATAATTATACTAGCACAGATATGGACTGAAATACAACCACATATTTCCTTTATTTCTAGATGTCTTAAAAATTACAACCCCTTCTATAATTCCTGAATGTAGCATCTGCAACTGAGCTCTCTCTGCGTGCTATCACTGCTAAAGTGCCCCAGTTTAAAACTAGTTCAGCTATGTCCACACAAACTATAGTCAGACCTCTGGCTGCACTGTAGATATGCCCTTAGTCATTTTACACACCAGTGGTTATGTAGGCCTTAATCCATTGCCCACTGGAATAATCCATTCCAGTGCCACTGGAAATCAATAAGACTATAGAGCTTTGTCTCATGGGTGGTGAGGCAAAGCAAAAAAATTTCAATTGCTGTTCAAGTTAAATGGACCTTACATGTTTCACTTAGGGGAAAATGGGGAGTTTTTGGAGCCCCAAGATGTTCATTATTTTCTAACATTCCCCAAATTAGATTAGTAGTAAAAAACAAACAGAGCATAAATAGAAAAAAAATATCTTTTTGCACATTTATCAATATTTAGATGTGTCCCAGAATGTAAGTGCTGGAACAGACTGTGCTTCTGACAACTGAGGGGCTTAAGGTGGAATGTCCTCACCAGCTCAGAACGCAGCATATGTTAGAACAGGGACACCTATACATGTACATTGGGGCTGCTCTGATACACTATAACTACAGCATATCAGAGCAGACTCAATTAATCGAGTCTGCTGGAGGGTGGTAATTACTACGCCCCAGCAGACTCCAGCATCCCCACACTGAAAAATGGCAGCAGGGGAACTTTAACTAAAGTTCATTGAATAAGCTTTAGTTAAAGCGCCCCTACTGCCATTTTTCAGCATGGGGATGCTGATACGTGTGACAGTCTAGGGCTAGGGTCAGACATTACACATAAACCAGTTTAAGTAATCAGAAACTGGTTTAGTAACAGAACAGATGTTCAGTGCACATAAATCAGTTTGAAAATGGCTGAAACTGGTTTGAGATAAACCTGGATGAATGTAGTGTCACATTTAACTGATTTGGTTCAAACTGGTTTATGCAATGTCTGTCCCAGACCCCTTGCTGGTTTAAGGTAAACCAGACATCCCCAGTATTCTGGCATGCTCTCTGGGCTGGGAGGTGCTCTCTGCTCCACAGCAGGGCTCACCTCTCCCCTCTGCTCTCTGCCTGCAGCTCAGTAGAGACTTGCAGGCACAACAGCATCTGCCTGGCTTCTCCCTGCTAAGCAGGGATTATTCCCCCCTCCCCTCTGCCTTAATACCTCAGAATTAGCTAGCAGACCACACGCTGGCTACGGTCCATGCTGTGGGAGATGACTAAGGCACACAGGCTTTTTGGAACTAATCAACAGTTAGCTTAATGTCCTTCCTTGGAAAAGCCGTTTAAGAAGAGCTGTTTGCTCTCCCCCTCCCCCCCACCACTCCCTTCTAAGCAGGAATTCCCCCCTTCCCTCTGCTTTGCAGACAGGTGTCTGTGTATTAGCTAGCAAACCACATGCTGGCTACAGTCTATGCTGAATCAACAGGTAGAATCAACAGATAGCTGGTAATGTCCCTATGTTGTTTTCTTAATGGGGTGAGAAACACTGAGTTAGGGGGTGAGAAACATTGTTATCAATTCCCTACTGAGCTAAGCAGAATGGCCTGCTAGGGCCTGACCACATTCCCCCCCCCCCCCCCCCCCACCCCACTTTTTGACCAGGGACGGGGAGAGGACTGCTCTACCATTGCCTAGCTTCTAGTCTGAGCCACTGCAGGTATGTGCCTGCATGTCTGGGATGTCTGTGCAGTTAAAAAGGTGATTTAACCTAGCCAGGTTAAACTAACCTGCAAAGATTGGATCAATTCAGGCTCAGACTGTTTGAATATCCTGGTGCTTTAATTAGAGGGGCTTTTGGAGCTGCTCTAATTAAATCACCCCTCCCTCCCCGCTGCCTCCCACAGCACATATATAAATGTCCTTGGTTTTTCTTCTAGATTTGTATCCTGAGTCTTATAATGTAGATTTTGTGTTCATTTTATTTTTTTTAAACAGGGTTTAATCTGGAGCCTGGATTCATGTGTGCTGTTTCCAGGTCCACATTGTCCAGTTCAATACACAACAGAGTTGGGATGAACTTTTCAAACTATCACTACCTCCCCAATATTGCTCTACCTGCTCTGCCACACATTGTGGACATCTCATTGCACAACTGTTACATCCAAGCTCAGGGGAGTTGGGACTGGGATGAAGTTTTGTTTTCATGGAATTATTTTTTGCAAAATGTTGAGCAATAAAGAGATACTTAAAGATCTATTAAAAACAGTCTTGTTCTCTTAACGAAATGATTTTTAAAGCTCTAATTATTTTACAAGTATATAAAAAAAGTCTGGGACAGAGCTGAGAAATCATAAAATTTTAGGAGTGGGTTTATGCTGTCTCTTTTCAGTAGTACTGATTGATGTAAACTGCCCATTATAGGTGAAATTGTGAGTTTGCTGACATCCCCAAATTAAGGCACCAAGGAGTTGTGCTGCACCTAAAACAAATTTGGTTTTCTGCTTGATATATGGAGTAGCAACTGTGCTATATTGGGTGCAGGTTACTTTCTCTTTTACAGTAGGTAAGTTGCCCAAATACCATGAGGACAGTATCAATGCACTTTTGCCTGTTTGCCCACTTTGGAAAAAGACTAACAGCCCTAGTGTGACCCATATCTCATGCAGGGGATTAAAGGCCCAAACCCTTACTCTCTAGTGCAGATGTCACAGACTATGTCTTCCCTGCCAGAAAGGTGTATGGTATTCTTTTTTTCAGTAAGCAGTTACCTCAAGTTAGCTATCTCACTATAAAGTCTTCATGGAAGCAGGGCACTGTAATTTTTTATCTCAGTGTGGCTAGTCAGAAATGTAGCTGGTCTTCCTGCATCCCACCGTGCTCTATACCTCCACTTTCTTCTACTCTCTGATGTCCCATACCTCTCCCCTGCTCTCAGGTCTTCCCCACCCACCCACACTCTCTCTGGCATGTTTACCTGAGGCTAGAGCTCAGAGACAGATGAGCATGCTGGAAAGCTCATGTAGAATAGAGTACCCCATTTTGAGACTTGGGAAATATTGTCATCCTATAGATGCTTCACCTCCACTGAGATTTTTATATCAAGCTAGCTATCTTGAGCTAATTTTCTAGCTATACAACACTTCATTTTTGTTGGCAGTGAAGTCATTGCCACAGGGCAACCTGGGCGTGTGGGATGTTAAAAACTACCCTTCCCCTCTGCCCATTCTGGTCGGTGCCTAAGTCACATGATCCTCAGGGTATGGTAACATTGCAGTTAAAACTATGACTTTAAACTAAGTAGCTCAGATACCAACAGCAACATGAAGTTCAGTATGGCCTCCAAAACCTGCCCAGGAATACAGGTGTATATTCAGGTGGCAAGCACGCACTGAGCCTTATTCTGCCATGGCTGCACTGGTACCAGGACTTGTGCAGCCAGTTTAAAGCTAGCCCAGGTATGTCAGTGCAGGCTCTAGTCAACCTTTGACTAATGTAGTCACTTGAACCAAGTACAGCCCAGAGCTTGCAGCTTTATCTGCAGTAGAAAAAGAAGATGACTTGAGAACCAGGGTTAGCTAACATGAGGTAAAATCCTAATGGGGGCAAGAAAGCTGTAGTTTTCACATGGCTTAGAGGATCAAGTTAAAGACTAAGAGATATCGGAGCTTGCCTTGACTTATAGAAACCACAACCTGCTTTATCTTCAATAGAATATTATCATTGTTCGTTATCTTGAGTAAAGAATGGCCTTTTTTCATAGTACAGCCATCCCTGATTTCAGGTCCCGCTTGGCCTGTGACTGTATGTATATCCCAGATTACAACTGTACCCTTTACCATTTGCATACAGTGGATATTAAAAACTTCAGTATCTTAAGCATGTATGTGAATGGCACCTGGAAAATGCCAGTATTCTGCCGGTAAATCTTCCTGCTTATTGTAAATTTGTATTTATTTTTTTAAGTCTTAAATACACATATCTTGCAATAGGGACAAGAAAACATCATTGTCATCATCTTGGCTAGGAGAGTACAACTAACTAAATGCCCTTATAGCAACATGGAGAAACATTAAAAAGATATCCTACTATGAGTAGGCCTAAGGTATCTAATAATACTGAACTCTAAAGGGGTAACTATTTTTTGCAAAATATTCTGAATTCCAAAGGGGGCTCCCGCACGCTCCCCAGCACACCCAAAAATGCTTCTGGTCCACTTCCAGGTCTGCTGCTGAGCATGCTGGGGACCCCCCATGCTCCTATAGGACACCCCATCCACCCTACCACCACAGCATTCACGAGCTGCTTAGTACCTTGAGGTATGTAGAAAAAACATTTAAAGCTGCCCCTGTGTCCAAATCGCCAAATCTTTACGAAACTCTCCAAATCAATTTGGAGGGTTCCGATTCGATTTGTAGAGATTAAAGAGTCTCCTGATTCAAGTTGGATTCGGAGATTCGGCCACCGAATAGGGCTAAATCTCCGCTGAATTGAATCAGCGACTGAAACTTTGCACAGCCCTAGTATACATTAATCTCATCCTAATATTTCTTCATAAGTTCCTTGACACTTTTGGCAAGTATTTTGTTTTGTGTGTGCAAATTTTAGGTGCCTCTTATGAGTAGTATTCCTGGATTTGTGCAGAGGATTGAACCAGATGACCACTGAGGTCTCCTCTAAACTTTAGGGGTGCAGTCTTCATCTTAAGGACAGATCACAATATAAACAGCACAGTGTAAGCATTACCAGGCTGCTTCACATTAGGCCTTAACACAAACCTGGAGGTGCCAGAGGATAATTTAGACTCTACCCCTCCGCTAAGGCTGGTACAAAAAGGCATCTTTGTAGTGAGTGACTGTAGTGCTAGTAGTTCACGCAATCTAGATACTTGTGGACTAGACCCACAAAAGTATTTTGCACAAAGTCTAGCAAAATATATTTTGCCAAGTCAATGTTTATTAAAATATGGAGTAACAAGTGGTGAAATTCTTAAAGACCTTAATGACTCAGGCCATGTCTCTACTTCTCACTTCCTCTGCCACCTAAAGCTGTTCTTAAACATGCTCTGCTGCTCCATGTGTGCTTTCTCCTGAACCAAAGCAGCACAGTCACATTCCCAGTAACAATGCAGCACGTAGCAGACATGGAGCTGCCTGGCACGGTACAGATATGCACTAAAGAGCCTATGTATCATTTTGAAATATGACTTTTGAGATTTAAGAGCCCAAATCTCAAAGTAAATGTAGTATAGGCTCCTAAATCACTTAAGTGATATGTCTAAGTCATGTGTTTTTGAAAATTTCACAGATGGTTAAAAGACAATGTCTCAACATTTTAATTATAGTAAAACTGACTTAGCTTAAGTAAATAATGAAATATAAATGTGAAGAAAAGTTTACGCACTTGTTTTACCTGTATGAGTCCTGGTGTGAGTCTTCAGATGATCAGACCTAGAGAACTTTCTCTGACAGGTTTTACACTGGAAGGGTTTCACACCTAAACAGATAAAAGAAGTCTATTCCCATATGCCAACACCTTTGAGAAGGGGTGGGGGAGATCAGTTATTTATGAATTTGCAAAACACTGGAATTTTTTTTAATAGTTACTGTAACTGCTCTTTCCCAGCTACATGCCTACACATCTCAAAGGTCATTAATCAGGCTGCCACAAAACTTAAACTTTCATACCTTATCTTCTACTTAAACCAATTACCTGTAACACTTTTGGGTAGAAAATGCCTGCACTGCACATAGTTGAAGCAAGTAGTAACTTACCAAGAAAGAAGGAGAGGTCTGCAAGACAGAATTTTGGTTCTTGTGATTTGGTACTCCTTGGGCATGTCTACATGTGCATTAAAGCACTTTTCCTAATGCACATTACATTTAGTACCTTCAATGTGAAATATTAAATAAATGCATGTTAGGCTGCCCTCACGCACAGTAACAAATGCACATGTCTTTTAAGTGATGCTTAATGAGCAGTAACCTATTTTACTGTGCATTATCATAATCACATGGTTTTTTACCTGACGTTTTAATGCATATTAGTAAAGTAGGCTACTGTGCATTAGAGCGCATTTATAACAGCATTCCTGGATTTGTATTCTACCCTTGTGTTCTACCTAAATTTTTATGTATTTGGACTCACTACAGTAAAAACAGAGGTTTAGATTTCTTTAATCCACTTGACAAGTTTTATTAAACAATATACATAGTGCCTACGTACCTAAGGGTTTGCTCAATTTAGAGACCTACCAGGCAACTATCAAAAGTTTATTTAAAAAAAAAAAGAAGTGAAGTCAAATAACTGAGTTTTTAAAATGTCCTTCCACATCACAAAAAAAACAATCATTGTTCATGTTGATTAACGGTTTGCAGAACCCAAATAAATTTCTTCGGGAAACTGCTTGCTTTCATGTTTGAACCCAAGAGAGTCCTATAATCTCAGGTTCAAGCAGGTCAAGTTCACAGAACTTTCACCATTTCTTCTTAAGGGTCAAGTATCAGTCCTTAGGTAGGACAAACCCTTAGGTGGACTTCTCACGAAGAACATGGATAGTATTTGGAGAGTGGTAGATATGCTGGAAGGTAGGGCTAGGACTCAGAGAGACCTCGACAAATTAAAGGATTGGACCAGAAGAAATCTCATAAACTTCAATAAGGACAATTGCAAAGTTCCGCACTTGGGACGGAACAAATCCATGCACTGGTACAGGCTAGGGACCAAGTGGGACGTGCGGGTTACACTGGACAGTAAGCTGAGTATGAGCCTACAGTGTGCCCTTGTTGCCAAGAAGGCTAACGGCATACTGGGATGCATTAGCAGAAGCATAGCAAGCAGATTGAGCGAAGTAATTATTCCACTCTATTCAGCACTGGTGAGATCACATCAGGGTGTCCTGTTTTGGGCCCCCCCACTACAGAAAGGATGTAGACAAATTGGAGATAGTCCAGTAGAGGGCAACAAAAATGGATAGGGGGCCAGGGCACATCACTTATGAGGAGAAGCTGAGGGAACTGAACTTATTTAGTCTGGAGAAGAGAAGACTCAGTGGAGGGTTAATAGCAGCCTTCAACTACCTGAAACATGCTTCCAAAGAGGATGGAGCTAGACTGCTGTCAGTGGTAGCAGATAATAGAACAAGGAGCAATGGTCACAAGGTGCCACAATGGAAGTTTACGTTGGATATTAGGAAAAACTTTCTCACTAGGAGGGTAGTGAAGCACTGGAACAGGTTACCCAAAAGGGTGGTGGAATCTCCATCCTTGGAGATTTTTAAGACCTGGCTAGACAAAGTCTTGACTTAGATGATATAGTTGCAGATGATCCTGCTTTGATCAGGGGGTTGGACTAGATGACTTCCAGAGGTCCCTTCCAACCCAAATTTTAATTTTAATGATTTTATTAAAATTTTAATTATTCTATGATTGTATGGCTTGCAAGATTCCTTAATCCAGAGTTAGGATTAGAGATCCAGTTCTGTAAAACTGGTGGAAAAAAATCAACCTGAAACAAAAATTATTACATTTTTCAGTCAAAGGAAAACATTTTGTGTCAGGCAGGAAATGTTTGTGCCCACTCATACACTGAATAGCCAGGATGCTTACATGAAAGGCCTGGGTTCAAATCCCCCTAGTGATAAAGAACATGAATTTGGACTTGTTTCCCACGTCTGAGAATGTAGAAACTGGGAAATCAACTGTCTCCTCTTCCTGAGGTATGGCTCTTTCAATCTCTTGCATGAAAATCTAGTTCAAGTTCTTGCTTCAAATCAGGCAAAGGATTGACTTTGTACCCTAGCTCCCACATTCCAGGTTGAGTGCCCTAACCACTAAGCTACTGGCTATAAGAAGACCACTGTCACCTCTGTCTCTGCAGTTTCATAATTAGGGCCTACATCCTTTTAAGAATCTAGCTCAAATAATTGAAGCAATCCATTAAGGAAATGTCGAAATGAACTGTGTTTTCTTCATACTTTCTTGAGCCAAAGGTATTTGCTGAACTGTAGGTTGAATTCAAAAATAGCATTAGCTGCTGCAAAACTGCACTCTTATCAACTATTCATTCACTGAAAAAAATTATCAAGCTCTAGATAGGACAGAACATTTGTGGTTACTATATCATTCTTCAATTTGTATTTTCTGCCCAGAGTTTTTGGATGATGGTACCCAATCATTCAGACCAACTAGCCACACTTCTGTCCTTTCTTTCCTTTCTACTGTACACTACTAAATTATTTAAGCACTGAAGTATTGCTTAAATAATTTGCTGAACTAGACCCTGGATGCGGAGCAGTGCTCTGTTAAGTGTATGAGCATGGCATATCTTTATATGATTTTTTCATATTTTTTCCTCTTTTCTGCAAGTGCACAGTGACTCCACAGCCTTTCGAGGCTGCAGTTTTTCCCTTACATATTTAACCATAAGCACCACCAGATTATTAATACTTTTGTCAGATTACTACTAGGTGGTATATTTTTATATAGTCATTCATTGTTAAGGAAAAAAAAAGTTTATTATCCACCCCACGCTGGGTTAAAGAGCAGAATGTTTCATTTGGGAGTTTTAATAAAAGTTTGCAAATTCCAAAGGTTTAGTTACTCAAGCACAAAATTGTGAATCTGAAATTCTGGAAAAATTATTGTTTTCTTCCCCCTCCTCCCTCTTTCCTCTCCCCCTTCCTTCTCTCCCTCCCCCTTCCCCACCCTCTTCCCTCCTGGCAACTAGAAATACATTTTCTCAAATGGGAATCTGAACATTCAGAAAAAATTTAAATAGAGATTGGCAGCCATACCTGTGTGTCGTCTTTGGTGTCGTTTGAGTTGGTCTGAACGGGAAAATCTTCTCTCACAGTCCTTAAAGTCACACTGGTATGGTTTTTCACCTGAAGAAGATAAAGGCAGCATTTGAAAGATATACTTGAATAGGGTGTTTCAGTGGAATTTATTGGAATAGATAGTAGTTACTTCACTAAAAAGCTAGGTGTCTTTCTCACAGTCTACATTTAAAGGGCCGAATTATCAATGTAATGAATCAACACAGTCTTATTGAAATAAATGGGTCTGGCCTGACTTTCAAATCTGAAGAATTTGACCTTGAATCAGTTTGTTGCAGAAAGGAGCGAATAGATTCAAATGGCAGAGACTTCATAGAGCTGAATAAAAAGTACATTCTCACAGCAAAATAATTTTATAATAAAAAATAGAAAATGTGTCTTTTGTATTCCTGAAGATCATAAGAACAATTTCAGCATTTTCTAGAAGAAAATAATTTGCACAGAGAGACAATTTGCAGTTTGCTCTAAATTGAATTTGAAGGAAGAAGTCCAAACCCATGACATCTGTAAGACCAGTAAATTTAACTGTGTAAAAACTACCAATATTTAATCCTAGAATAAAGTACATTTCTACCCAAAAACCACAGAACACCATGAAAAGTAGCACTTTGTATTGCATATGCAAATGTACAATACCTTCACCCAAGTCTATTAATTCTTTCAAAGGCCCTTATTAAAAAACTGAGTAAACTGTTCCTCCACATACACCTACACTCAGGATCCTAGAAATCAGTCTGTCTGGCACAAAATACAATCTCAAATATTAAAAAAAGAGTGTCCCAAATGTATACAGTTCCTTTCATTATAAAGGGCTTTATCAGGCATATAAACATACAAATACTATAGAAATGCATCCATTTCAGGGGAAAGGAATGCAAAGAAATTGGTTCAGTAGCAGAGGGAGGGACAATTTGGTCAACACAGAAGAGCTAAGCCATGTATTCTTTCAGAAAGGGATAAAGAATCTCTAAGGTCTGCTTCACATTTACGCTTAGTCCCCTTTATCACTCTGACATTCAAGAGGGGCCTGAATCCATATAAATGACATTAACTCTCACTTTAAACTCCTTTTGCACTTCCAAAGTCATGTAAAAGGACCTTAATGTAAACAAGAATAGACCTCTTCAATATCTATACAGAGCAAAAAAGACACTTGTCTCTAAAGCATCAAATCTAGCATACAAGCACCCAAAATTCAATATTCAGTATTCATTACATTACTTTATGAAAGTGAGCAGAGAAAAAGCATTGTTACATGAATGTTGTACCTTACATGGTACACTAGCAATGTATACCTCATGAGATGCTGTGTTCATCTTATATGTGATCTGTGAAAGCAGACTGAACCCTTTAATGAGCATTTTTAATTACAATTATTAGGAAAAATTAGGAAAAATAGGAAGACTTAAGGGTTTCAATGACTTTTACTTTGAAAAATATTTGTCTTTTTAGCCTATTTGTGCCCCTTTAAAATGTGCTACATTACAAATGTGTTTGTACAGCTCAATAATGTATAAAGCAGTAGTTTTGAGATGCTGGTAAAAATTATGATTTTATTTTTAAGTATTCTGGGATTACTCTCATTCTGATCTCAGTAACATTTTTGCAAATCATGTAATCAAGTACATTAATGGAAAATTCCAGATTTATATTAGTGTAGCTAACTTCAAGATTTTAATCATAATTATCAAATATCTGTAAAGAGAACTTTATAACTTCCTGTGTCAGATACCCAAAGGAGTGTATTGACTCTTAAGCCTAAACATGGGCCATTTCCATGTCTGTTATCTGAATTTATTAATGTACAGGATGAGGTTTGCCACAAGCGTTTAAAATGATTCCCTAC